TGCAGGTGTCTCCCATTTCAGAGAGACTTTCAGAAGGTTCCTGGATTACAAAGTTAGACCTAACTTGTACATAGCTCCATAGAAATGTAGACTGACACATCAATGTTCTGCTACTTAATACCCATCTGTATGAGGAATTTTTTGAGGAGCAAGAAACATTAATTTCTACCATATTCTTATGCTTTTATTCAGATAAATTAGATGTTTGTGGTCTGGTATTTTGATTTCTAGATTGCTACTGCTAGATTGCAAGGATTAAGGAGAACCATAATAGCACTTCAACCTCCAACCTGGCACACAGCCCAGAGGTAGGTCTTCTGGCTGGAGAGAAAGTAAGAGTGTCCTGCTTGGTGCTTTCCACTAAGGAACAGACTTTTGCTGAAGATTTCCTTCCTGAGATATAGCACATGGGAAGTCTCATATTTAACCTTCTCCGTACCAGCCATGCAGGAGAAACTTAACACAGTTTACAGGCTGAATACAGCTTAGCATCTGACAACTTTCCTTAATGTGCATATGATTTGATTTTACATTATATTACTATAAACACAGTTTCTTTAAAACAGATTTGTATAAAAATCTTAATACATGGATCCAGAAAATATTTAAGAGGGGTACATAATGTCAAAGGCATGTTTAACATAAGAAGATGTACATAATGTTCCCTTTGAGGGTCTACTGAACATCTTTACTGTGACATAAAGAACTCATTCATCATTCAGGTGAAAGCGTATATATTGAGAAGCTCAACATATTCTAGCATTCACTGCTATTTGGGATTCAAGGTGACATACAACAGCTGCCATGAGGTGGGTGGTCTGAAGGACTTTTTGTCAGCTTGCTGATTTATTTGCTTTAAAGAATAAACTGATCTCTGCTTTGAGAATGAAGCTTCTCCCTATTGTCACTGTCAAGTCAAATTTTAACTGCTGAATACATACCCTGTGGGGCTGACATGCAGATGGAGAGAAATCTTCTGGTGCAGATGTCTGTAGGCTCTGCTGAAGATAGTGGATGTTTCTCTGTAACATACTGTCAAAGCTTATTTACCTGCTGTGCCTATTGTTGCAGCTCAGCAGGTGTTTCACCTCTGTCTTTATCTATATTGAGCTTTTGTGCTTCCTATACTTTTAAACATGTTTTTAAAATGTCTAGCTACCAAGCTGATAGGTGTTGTGGCACTTAGCAATGGTAGTACATAGTTCTTCATTGTGCATGGATTTCTGTTTCTCTTCTAGCATTACATCTGATCCCTTTTTAGATCTTTTCATCGTATTAGATGCATAACCCTGAAATGTGGCCCAAACTCTAGGTAAAAGTAAATACTGATGTTACATTTTCTCTGCACTTCAAGGAAAAAAAATACAAGTGCTTGAGTGCCATGTGCATGTAGAAAGAACCAGAGCTGGCTACAGCTCTTGTCTGTATAAAGTAATTTTCAAATTCTATTGTTTCTGATGTATTAATAAAACTGGGTTAACTCTTCCCATGTTTATTTTAAAGCCCTAATTACCTATAGTTACTAAAACCCCTGTTCATGTAACATTTTAAAATATTTTATATATTGTTTTGTTTTGTTTTTAAAAAAAAAATCAATTCTCCTTCTCTGAAATTAAACTAGAAGTCATTTAAACTCTGTTCCAATATAGGTGTTTTCCCTCTCCTTTTGGCTTTAGATAAGTATATATTAATGTATTCAAAACCAAAAAAACAAGATGCATACATGTACATTTTAGCAAGATGCATCCACATTCATATAAGGTTGAGGGAGGCGAGGATAATAAAGCTACACTTTCTTAATGTGGTGTCAGTGAAGCACATCTATTCAAATATTCTTGGCTTGAGAAAGCCAGATGTAGTACTAATGTAAAAATAATTCAGAGAATTTTGCTCAGACTGTGAAGATGACAGTTCCCATAAATTGTTTAGGCATTGTCACAACACCACTCAGTTAAAGCCAAACAAGCATCTGATTCTTGCTTTGAATACCAGTTGATTGACTGCTGTTACCAACCATTTAATGGGACTCAAAAGACAGATGAAAGACTATCTCATTTTAGCATTCTGAAATGTCAGTAACAAGAAAAGTTCAAGAAGAGAGATTTAAACAAATGTTTCGAAAACACATTGTCAGTATCTACCAAATATACTACTAAACATCTTTATTTGTAATGAGTTATTTGCCAAAGTCATTAATCAGATACAGATTCTAAAACAAGTGTATTTGTGAATAGCTGAGCCTTAATTTCATCCAAATTAAAAAAATATACTATGTTAAATCATCTTGTAATTTCTCTAAGCATTTGGATGCACACAAATACCTAACTGAATGTACAAATGTGTACAGAAGACATCAGATATAGATATATATATATACACACAGAGATATAAATATGGGACATACATAACACAAGGCAATAAATATTATATACAGAGAGAGAGGTGTATAAATAAATCTCTTTTTGGTTTTGACTGATCTGGATTTTGCAATATTGTCACAAATTTAAATAGCCATCCTACAATTTTTTTTCCTCTGTACTGTAGGCAACTACTTTCTATTTGTTTTGTAACAGTATACCTCTTCTAAATAAAGGGGGCCTAAATGCAAACAAAAACATTAACAGGAAATAATATTCAGCATTTACAAAGTGCCTGAAATGCTGAAATTCTTGTATAAGTATTTAATAATAAATCCTCAAAACAGTCCTCTCAAAAACAGTAATATCCCACCAGTAATGCTGTGGGAACAAGGACCACAAGGGGGACCACAAGGAGGAGCAAGGCACCACAAGACACAAAGCAAGCTGTCACCAAAGCCCCACATGGAGTCCTGGAAGCAGCACCACCTTTTAATAGCAGTGCTTATGCAAAGCTGGTCTGAACTACGGAAATATAGAGTTGGTAGTAGTTGCTCATTAACGCTTTTTGTCTCCACTACAGTGTTAGTTTTGACACACCATTAAGAATGAAACAATTCAGGTGCTGAACGAAGAGTGCCTGAAAAACAGTAGATGAGGCACACGAATCCGGTACAGTTTTTATGATGATGAAAGAACAGTATATGCTAAGCAAAAATGGAGTATAATGTATTGATCCCATCAGTTACAAGCCTTAGAAAATTGGATCTTTCCATCAAAATTAGCTCTACCAGAAAAGGTGTCCGGATCAGAAGTTTTCCTTTTGTTTTATGCTCATCACGCCTTTAAGGGTTTTGCAGAATTTGGGGATGGACACAGCACTTCTGTAAAGTTTTCCTCTTTTTTTCAGATTTCTTTGTCCTTAAGGATGGATGCATCTTCAAAACCAATAGATGTTTTCATCTTTTTAAGATTTTTTAGTCCTTAAGGATGTTATCTTCATAACAAATACTTGTTTTCATCTGTTTAAAGATTTCTTAGTTTTCAAAGATGAAGACGTGTCTTTCTACTAAATTGTCTGCACAAGAAAAGACTCCAGTGAAGATGTTTCTATTCAACTAGTTGGGATGGCAACGGTCTTGGAAAACTTCCCTAACATTGCATGTTTTGTTCTTTCTTTCTGAGGATACAAGCATTCCTTGGTCATGAATATTTTCATTAATAAGGTTAGTATGCTTTGGAGTAGGAAAGGTTAGATCCACTGAATGATTGCTTGTTGAAATGACTTATGGTGAATTTTTGTTATGAATATTTCTGTTTATTAGCAGAGATCTGGAAAACGTTGCAAAGTATATGAGAAGAAACGCATCATGGTCTTTAAGTATTTTATTGTTGAGGCTCCCTGTAAAAAGATTTTTTATATTTCTTCCTGTCAGAGAATCCATAGAAGAACAGATGTTTTCTTTTCCCTTGAGTATGAGTTAAGACTTTGATTTATTCAGATTTATTAAGACCGTCCATATTCTTTTTGAAATGGAACTATTGCTCATTGACAACATGCACAACAGAGTTCTGAATCTCTGTTTTTACGGAAAAAAAACAGTTAAGAGTTCACATGAACTTTTGTCATGAATGCCAGTATCCCATGTCTTCCAACACCACTGCATTCAACCTCTGACACAAATTCAGGAAAAAAATGCCCAAAACATAAAAATCAAGCTGTACTCAGTACAAATAAGAAAAAATACCAACTGACCTCCTGAGACCATGACCTATTCCTTGCTATAAACCTCTTTTAAGACTCAACATCTAACATGGCACATATAAAGAATCAGACAAATTAGTAAAGTAAAAAATAAAATTAATGTAAAAAAGCTCTTATTTTGCAGTATTACTACTTGCCTGTCTTCCCATGTCATCTGGTTTCTTAAAGATCCCCAAGGTGAACGAATGGTATCTTTCAAGATATTCCCAACACATCGCACAATACATTCCTAGGTTTAAAGGGCTGACTGCACTAAGAAAAATCCTCAACATTCCTGAGTTACTTCATTGAAGAATCTTACAACTCTTGTTCTAAATAAAACTAACCCCAACTCCAAGCTCCACTATCATCTAGTGAGAGCTAACCACCCTGGAGAGGTGGTTAATTAATTATACAGCAATTATCCCATAGTCTCTCGGTGCACAGACTTTCCATGCACACCAACTGAAGTGCCAGCTATATACAAATGGCAAAAACAAGAAGACAAGCCTAGAATAATCACCGGGATGTGAAACTTCTGTTCAGATAAAGCAGAAGGACACAAATGTAATTTCTAGCATTGCAATGATCTAGGCAAGGTATTTTGTACAATGTTTGAAGTGTTGATGATACTCTGAACAGTTATCATTAAATCTGTTGTACCTTGAAATTTTCTCTTTATAGGAATACAGTCTGAGTAAGGTCACATCTTTGCCAAACCACACACTTCATTTAGCTTTAATAATCGAAAACTACTGCATCTAATCTCATTTAGTCACACAGGCTATCTTTATAATCAGCAGAGAGAATTGCCTAACATCCACCGCAGAAAAAATGACTTTTCAGGCATATAATTTACAGGCACGATTGATACAGGAAGAAAATGAAGATGTACTTACCAAGAAAAACAGAGGACTCACAGTAGTAGTAGCCATTGGGTTGCTTTTTTTTCAACATGGAGCAAAGATCTAAGCGATGAAGGACTTCATCTCCAAAATACTGGTTTTTAAAATCTTCATATAGGCTTGAGTCAATTTTTTTCACCTTTAAATATCAATAGAAAATTCAATCAGGCATTCTGCTAGGAGACTGAGTTTTCACATTTAATTCCTATAGTTTTCGTTTTAACCAGAGTTATAATTAGAATGGGAAATTGCTTCAAAATGCAAAAAGAATACTGAAACAACGTTGTGCCAAATCTTCTTTCTCAGTTAAGCAGTTATCTGGTGCAGAACTTAAACATGGAAATAGAAGTGTCATTACACCTCCTGTCTACTCATCCCTCTTCAATCCTGTGTACAGCTGTGTACAACACTATAACTGCTTTAACTTCAAGTGGCTTGCAAGAGTCTTCATGGAACGCGTAACTGGAAATAATTCTCTGTCAGCACCGGGCATGTTATTACACAGAGGAATCTCAAATGTTTGTCAAGGAAAGTTTTCTGTGTTTTTAAAACCACCGAACAGGAAAACATGTTTCTGTGTAACCAACACGAGGCTTTTTATGTCAGCAAATCCAAAAACTTACTTATATTTCTGGACTTTACCTATCAAAAAGACTGACTCAATTCTAATGATAAATATTAATGATTCATAATATCAGCAGTAATAATAGTATTTTAGCAGTTTAATGCTCCTCATTCCATCATGTTTTCAATAAAAATGATGATCTCTGTAGAAACTATATTTTCGCCTTCAGTGTACTTCAACATAATGTCAGTTCCTCTTTAAAAACTGCTACGGTGTGCTAAGGGATGTAAGCAATGGCAGCAATCTGTAGCACCTCCACCCAGGGCTCCCTCCAGCCCAGATGCTGGAGCCAGCCCAGTGCCCCAAAGACGCGGGGTCCCTGGTGGGAATGTGGGGTCTCTGGTGGATGTGCCAGCTGCTCTCCTCTTTGCAGGTGCGAACAGTAGAGAAGCTGGGCACGTGGCCCTGAGACACAGGTACAAGCACTGAGGACGTTTACATGTCTGGTCACACACATTGCCACAGACAAGGCACTGCCACAGACAGCCCCCAGGGACAGGGCTGAGTGCAAACAGACCCCCACCCACCCCAGCGCCTGGCACAGAGATCCCACTGGCTCCAGCCGCTGACACTCCAGGCCCGAGATGCCCAAAAAGCCAGTCTGACTCCAAAACCACCCACAGCAGACCCCAGTATCTGGGTACCTTGTCCTTGTAGCACATGCACAGGATTGGGAGAGAGATTACGCACAAAGAGAGTTTGGTTAAAAGGCTTTAATAAGAAGACAGGACAGACTGCGGTGGTCAGCCAAAGGGCTAAAGTCAGACAAGCACCATTTTACATGTAACTGGCCACCTTTACAACCCCTTCTGTCTGTTCCTTCTTTGTTCCTCCTTGACCTCCCCCCACTGTTCATTGCCCCGTCAGTTTGCCCACTGACCTGCAAACTAGTCAGCGGGACTGCAAACACCCCTCACCCTCACGTTTATATCCCTAACAGTTGCAAAGGTATGGTTTGCCTGCAGTTTCCTGATAGATCATTAATTAGTGAGACGGATAACGTTTGTTTCTTGTTTTTGTCCCTGTTGGGTTTGTCTGACAGCTCTGTGACTCCATATATTTGGTATACATCTTTCCTTATTGTCCCATTTGACAAAGCCCTCGACCAGATGACCCTACAGAAATAAGCATTCCTACACTCTTCAGAACCCTAGCAATCAGTGTGACTGACCAGTTTTTGCCCCCACTATATCTCCCAGTTGTATGATAGGGAGGTGTGTGTCTCTATATGCTGCTGTCTGTGGCTTCCCCCTTCTTTCATTATCCCCTTCTGCACTGGAAAGGTCCTCAACCAGGTGCCATAAAGTAGACAGATGCTTTCCCCTTGCACATACCCTTACCCTACCTCAGTTCATCTCAGCATTACATTTAATCATTTCTTGTGATGCTTCACAATTAGTCACATGCAAGTATGTGCTCAGTGGTGGTATTTCTACTGAGCTTTTACTTAGATAAAATTCAGAAGCACTATGCTTGAGTAACGACCTGCACAGCTGGTTCTCTTTCCCCTGAACTCTAATTTAGTAGAGGTCAAAAACCATCTTTCCAGTTCCTTAATGTCTGAAATGATGACATCTAGTGGTGGATGTTTTTCATTTAGGGTAAATAATCACACTGGAAGACTACATGTATTCCATAGTCATTTTTATTTAAAATATGATATTCTGTGGCTAGATTGGTTTCTATGTACTAAAGTTATTTTGAAATTAAATCATCAGTTGGTGCTCTCTGGCTGACAGCTCTCTGAAATGCATTTAGACATCAATTAGTAATAAAAAAGACCTTTTCAGACAGGAGAACACTTGTCAAAATGTGAAGCCTTGAATACTCATCAAAAAAAATGAAGAAAAGATTAAGATAACCTATGCATGCTACAATGAATAATAGCATTCACACAAGGCAGGGAACTTGCTTGTCAAAAACAGATCGGTCATGTGTGAATCAAATATTGAATGGTCCAAAGTGAGTTATGTTTGTGATGCACTACAGAAAGGTATTTGGAAAAGCAGCCAAGGGAAAACTGAGTTTGGAGCAATTTATGGAGCACTGCTTGCAATGGTTGCAATGAGATACAGATGGTGAAAGAAAGGATTAAACAACACAGGTGCATGGGAGAGTTCATTTATTTGAAAGTGTCTGCAGCAGTAGGGAAGAAAGAGAGGAGTTATTTCTATCTGGGAAAGCTGTAGATGCTGCTTACAGAGAGATGCTGTACTTGGGTGCTGGAGGAGGAGGAGGAGGAGGATGCCTGTGGAGGGATGGGCCTGTGCAAATGGGCCTGCAGAAGGCCAGGCTGCCTCTGTGGCAGTCACTGGCAGAGGCAGGCCGTGGGGAGAGGGCTCGGCCCAGCGCGCATCTCCCTCCTGACAGGATCAGGAGCCAAGCTCCAGTCTGGAGAAGGAAGGGGAGAAAAGGGGGTGAGATCAGAGTTTTGGACTTCATGAAGTAGCAGCAGCTAAGAGGAGCTGCCTGCCTGTGAGTGAGGAGGGTGAGTACTGGGCAGGGAAAGGGCTGGAGCCATGGAGCTGACGGTGACTTTGGCCTTCATAGGGGCAAACTAGCCTACTTTACTGTATTGATGGGTATTTGTATACTACTTTACTGTATTGATGGGTATTTGGGCACACATATAGTAAAGCTGCATCTCTGAAATACTGGATACAAATCAGAGTTGCTGAGGCTGGGCAGGACCTGTGGAAATCCCCCAGTCCACTCCCAGCTCGAAGCAAGATCACCTACAGCAGCTGGGCCATGTCCAGTCAGGGACTGAGTATCTCCAAAGCTGTACACCCCACAACCTCTCTGACAACCTGTTCCAGTGTTTGATCACCCTCACAGTGAAAGATTGCTTGTTTGTTTTTTTCATGTTTTAGTGGCACTTTCCTGTACTTTTTGTGTCTACTGCCTCCTGCCTGTCAGTGAGTATCACTGAGGAGGATCTGGCTCTGTCTTCTGCACTCCCCCCATCAGGTATTTATACGCTGTGGTAAGAGCCCTCCTTGAGCCCTCTCCAGGCTAAACAATCCCAGATCTGTTGGCATCTCGCATGTGAGTTTCTTCAGTACCTTAACCATCAGCACATGGCTGACAGCAAGTTTTTACCTTCTACAGTTATTTCTATAGCTTATTATGGAAACGGGTTATACAGCAGGCTATTAGATACCTGCTGGGATTACATATTAGATATGAGATTAGATTAATTACAATCTATACAACCTGAAGATAGACAGGATTTACTATGAGCTTTCAAGCTCCGTACCTAAAGGTGGTTTGGAGTTTCTCCATCTATTGGCTTGTAACACCAAGTCAGTAGCAGAAGGGTTCAAACAGCATTATGAGGAGTTTCAAGGGTGTGATAGTACTAAAAGATACTAAGAAAAAATATAAACTTAGTTACAAGTTACAGCTTGCTTAGAATCAAGATGCATCTGTAGATATTGGCTGCATCTTTTCACTGGAACTGTTAACTTCTGTCTTTAATTGCTGGTAGCATGTTACTTTCTCCATGGTTGGGAGAGTAAGTGTTAACTTGCTGTTGTCAATTACAGTTAGTTCCCAGGACTGCTAGGATGAGACGTGAATAAAAATTTTCTTCACCAACAGAATGAGTTCGACATCAACCACAAGCTGTCCCTTGCCGTCACTGCTTGTGCCCGAACAAGAGGACCAGGAGTGTTCTGAGACACATATGTCTGTTCTGTGGTATGCAGGGCAGTTTGCAGTTACTTACTATGATACAGAAGACTGCTCAGTTTACTTCATGCCTGACACACCTGATAATGAAGACCTTGACCTACTGCAAAAAGTAGTTGAGGAAGTTCATCCTCAATGCATAGTGACAAGCGCAAAACAGGACCAGAATATTGCCAAATTCCTGGCTGACCTAACAGCTAGTGATAGTGATAAAGATGTGGGAAAACCAGAAATTGTCTTGTTTCCTAACACAGACTTTGGCCTAGAAGTCGGCAAACAACGAATCCTATCTAGGCAATTTCCATTCATCCCATCCCATATGACTGCAACAGAGAAAATTCTCTACTTGTCCTCGGTCATCCCTTTTGAGAGCCCACTTGTAATACGAGCTCTAGGAGGGCTCCTTAAGTTCCTAGACAGGAGAAGGGTTGGAATTGAGCTAGAAGAAAGCAGTGTTGTGGTTCCTATTTTGGCCTTTAAAAAGTTTGTGCTGTCAGATACTGTGAATATGGACCAAGACGCTTACTGTGTCCTACAGATATTTAAAAGTGATATCCATCCTTCTGTGTACAAGCTGTCTAGTGGATTAAAAGAAGGATTCAGTTTATATGGGATTTTAAACCGCTGCAGGTGCAAATGGGGAGAAAAACTACTGAAGCTGTGGCTTACACGACCTACTCGGAACTTGACAGAGCTAAACAAACGGCTGGATGTTATCCACTTCTTCCTGCTGGCTCAGAACCATGAAACAGTCCTCACCCTTCAAGACTGTCTCAGGAATATAAAAAATGTGCCTCTTATTCTAAAAAGAATGACTCTTTCCCATACAAAAGTTAGTGACTGGCAAGCTCTCTATAAGACACTGTATAGTGCAGTGTGCCTTAGAGACACGTGCCGTTCTCTGCCCAGTAACATCGAACTCTTTCAGACTATTTCACGTGTCTTCACTGATGACCTGCACTACATCGCCAGTCTCATCAGCAAAGTGGTGGACTTTGAAGGCAGCATCTCAGAGAACCGCTTCACTGTTAGACCTAATGTGGATCCCACCATTGATGAAAAGAAACGAAGGCTCATGGGACTGTCAGACTTTCTTACAGAAGTGGCACGGAAAGAACTGGAAACCTTGGACGACCATATTCCTTCCTGCTGTGTGATCTACATTCCTCTGATTGGGTTCCTTCTCTCCATTCCACGGCTACCAACTATGGTGGAGAAGAGTGACTTTGAAATTGAAGGCTTGGACTTCATGTTTTTGTCAGAGGATAAACTGCACTACAGAAGTGCGAGGACTAAGGAGCTAGACAGCCTGCTGGGTGACTTGCACTGTGAGATAAGAGACCAGGAAACACTAATTATGCACCAGCTGCAGACAAAGATCTTGGAGAAGTCTGACGTGCTTAGCAGCGTGATCGAGTACACTGCACACCTTGACGTGCTGCTGGCTTTGGCAGTGATGGCTCGGGAGAACTCCTACTGCCGGCCGCGCTTTACTCACCGCCACGGCTTCCACATCAAGGAAGGGAGACACCCGCTCATGGAACTATGCGCAAAGACTTTTGTGGCCAATCCTGTGAACAGCGGTGAGGCTGCCAGGCGAATAAAGATCATCACAGGGCCCAACTCATCTGGAAAGAGCGTCTACTTAAAGCAAGTAGGTCTTATAGTATTTATGGCTCTGATTGGCAGTTACGTCCCTGCAGCCGAGGCAGAGATTGGAGCAATTGACGGGATTTACACAAGAATCCACAGCAGGGAATCTGTTTCTGTAGGGCTCTCCACTTTCATGATTGATCTTAACCAGGTTGCCAAGGCAGTAAACAATGCTACAGAGAGGTCCTTGGTGCTTATTGATGAGTTTGGTAAAGGGACCAACACACTGGATGGGCTGTCCCTTCTGGCTGCCGTACTGAGGTACTGGATCAATCAAGGAACCCGCTGTCCGCAGGTCTTTGTCTCCACGAATTTTCACAGCTTGATGCAGCTAGAACTCCTGCCTGCCTCACCTCTGCTGGAGTACCTGACCATGGAGACCCACCAAGATGGAGATGAGTTGGTATTTTTCTATCAGATCAAACAAGGCGTGTCCACTGTCAGTCATGCTGCCAACATCGCTGCGTTAGCTGGAATGCCAGCCAAAATTATTGAAAGAGGAGTGGAAGTATCGGAACTGATTCGCAATGGAAAAGCTATCAAACGTATCGATCACCCTTCAAAAGGAGACCAGATGGAAAAATGCAAGTCTGTTGTGGAAAAGTTTCTTTGCCTAGACCTTGATGATCCCAATCTGGACTTAGAAGAGTTCATGCGTAAAGAGGTGCTGCCTTCTGCAGCCTCAATTCTGTAACACAGCTACGTGTAGAAGCATGAATTACATGGTATCCACCATGTTTAGCAGGACAGTTGAGTAATTTAAGCAATGATGACTAACAGCTTACACTACATTTCACTTGTAAAAAACTGTCTGTAGTGTACGTCCTTTCTTATTGTTTAAAAAAAGTATTGTAGTTAAACATCTCTGCAATATGGTGTATGATATGAAAACAAGAAGGCTGAACAAAGAGAATTCAAGAACCTCTTCCACCTGTTGGATTATACAGTCTGTGCTTTTTGAGCCCCTGTTGTTAGATCCCCAGACTGAAAAAAATACTGTAGAAAAATCACAAAATATTTCTGCTGGTCTCAAGAGACTGTATAAGCAAAGTGTTTATTGTTTTGTGTTTGTGTCAAAGGGATTGTTTCAGCTATTTTAAGATCAGCATCAAAAGATTACAAATAAGTGCCTCAGACTCCCAGATCAGCAAGTAACAGTTGGCACAATACAAACCTCTGAAGTAAAGGCTGATGAATGGAAATATAGAGAGGAATTTAATGAGCTCTGTGGCTCTTTCTTACACTTTTCTTAAAACAGCATTTCTGTCTAAAATGCCAGAGATCCCAAGAGTTGCTATAAAAAGAATACTGGAAGTCAGAATCAGCAGGGACTGATTACAGGGGAAGCACTTTGGTTTTACTGAGAATAACTCTCTTCTCTTCAGGTCCTATATTACTATCTATAGGACTTGTAGGACTATTGTAAGACTACTGTCTATACTGTATGAGTATAAATAAAAACAAAATTACAAGTCTAGGAAATGGAAAACTATACTAAGGACGTAAGACAGAAACTGGCATTTTATAGTCTATTTTAAAGTACTGAGTAAAAGTTATGGTTAAGGGAATAATACCAGAGCCATAGCATTCCCCTTCACTTCTGTCAGTGCAAATGATCTTTACTGAACACAGCGTTTGATGAATTAGTATGCCAAAAATATTCAGGAACAAATTCATGAAGCAGCAGACACGATATCTAAGTACCACAGAAGTAATAACCTTCCCTGCAATGGGATAAGTGCCTGAGATTCCTTATCTAAGAGTAAGACAGAAGAGACATTAGATTTCTAACCGACTGCCAAAACTTGCTATAACTGCTCACAATATGGCCCATAAAAGACATCAGCAGATATATTACATCTCTCTTCACTTGTATCCGATTTCAAGAACCAAAAATATTAATGTCACATACAGTGAGAGAAAAAATACATGAGGAAAAAATAATTATCTTCACACTATCAGTATTAAACATCTTATTTGCTTGGTATGTTTCACTGAAGATAGCAAAAAGACGAATGTGTCTACCAAAAGTTGTGAATTCAGAAACACTGCTTTGGTTTTGATTCAGTGCAGAATTTCTTCCTTTATGATGTGCTTTAGTATTACAAAATAAGTAGCTTTTGTTATCTCTAATGAAACTAGGATAGTGACGAAGGTTTAACATAATTCACATTAAAAATACACAAATAAATGACTGAATCATGCATTTCCTGCTATTTTTGGTGCAATCATAATAATACCGTCTGCAAGATACTATCTAACATATTGGCAATATTACTGTTGAAGTTGAACGGTAGCAGTGTACAGGCCATGCACAACTCTTACAAGTGTTTTAAATACAAAAGGATTTTTCTCACTGATATATTTGGCTAATTATACATGCAGCACTCTAAATATGTACTATATATTAAATATATTAAATATTCATACAAGATATTTTTTGAATACCTCCTTGTCAGCCTCTGCCTAGGCTAAGGATACACTGCTTATTAACCAAGTAGATGCCACCTGAGCAGTTTAGCTGTCAGTCATCCACTTACAAAATCCACTTCACCATATCTGCAGTTCTGGCAGCACTATGCATCAAAGGATCTCAGAATGTCATACAGCATGTATCAAATGTGCCTCACACCACTTCCCTGAAATAAACAGCAGTCTGGGTGAGTGAAAAACAGAGGGGTTGTGACTGACCTCCAGCAACATAGCAGGCTCATAAGGGAAGCAGGAATAGGAATGTTTTCTTTAAGTGGAAAACTCCAATTGCTTCTTTCACTGTTTCATTAGGTTCTTTGTGCAGAAGATAATGAACCAATCCAAGATTCTTATCATCCAGTCAAGTGTGGAAACAGCTAAGCACATGCAAGTAAATTATCTCCCTTTATCTCCTTCCACAAGGACACCCATAGGCACACTGTGCCTTCTTAATTTTCAGTGGCAAGTGGGGAAGTTTTCCGTGGCACATGAGATTTTGGAACTGTCAAATTGAGTTGTGAGTTGCTCCCACTTCTGAGCAGTTAAGATGGCTCTTTAACCTGAAAAGCTAAGAGTACTCAGATAGCCCTTTTCCTCACCCACATTATCTGAAATTTTTACCCTTTATTAATTTATATTTCCAAGGATTTTTTTTTCCATTTATCATTTTTCTATTTTTAGCTTATTGCCATGCCTTCAAAGTAGAAAGCTGTTTTCTTTTATTAATTCTGAATTCTCACACTCTTTTCTTTCTAAATACCAGTATCAACTACAGAAAGTTAACATCTTTTTCAGAACATATGCATCTCTAAATGTGTTTATCTATATTAAGCATTGAAAAAGTTTTAATTTTTTTTCTAAAAGGAAACGTTGGTGGAACTCAGATGTCATTATTAGGAGGGTGTCTTAAGGTATTGCTTCAAATTAGAAAACACACATTTTAAAAAATATTAAAACAGTTATGAAGCTGTAGCTGTGAACTACAGTCAACTATCTCATTCTATTTGCTCTTTTACATGTGTTTTCATTCAAACTTCATCCACCATTTCTTGTTTTTCCATCCCCATTTCTTTTTCATACTGTTGAATGATCTGAGAATGCAACTAAATGTTTTGTTAAAATGTTCTACAAAATAGTTATTCCTTTTGTGCTTCATGTTTGTTTCAGTAAATCCATGAAACTGTCTTACTGAATGCATAGACACAATGCAACTAGAAACAATGGTTACGATGCTTATGACAGACAGTGGATTGACAGAGAAAAACTCCTGTTAAAATAACTTACAGATTTTTAATATATAATATATTTCCAAACAGTGTATTTTTAGAATACTATATGCATTATCCAGTATTGTGGAGGACTAAAGAAGATGATTTGGAATGACACTGACCTGGTTCTGTCAGTAGCCATGAATATCAGAACACAGAAAATATCTATCCTGAGCAATAGCTCATGAAAGGTAGATAAACATTAAAATAATAAAAAACAGCTATTAAAAAAAAATGGAAAAAAAAAGCACCCTAGTTATCTGAGAGGTTTTAAAAAAAACAGTTAAATTAATATTCTAGAAGAGCTGTACTTGTAAAAGCAATTGTTAATACAAGCAAAAGCTTATTTGAACTTACAATTTTGAGAGCTATAACATACCACCTACAACCTGTGGACAAGTCCTTATTTCTGTTTCAGAGCAGATATGTGTTATGTCCTTGAAGTTTCTTGATGTATCTCAGAACTCATTCCATTCTTCCAAATGATTTCACAATACTACTTAATTAAAATTTACATCTTTAAATTTTAGAGTTCTTTTATTATAATGAAAATTTTAAAGTATTTATCTTTAATGGTTGCTAACTCAACTTAAAATATTTATACTATGTACTTTAGTTCTTATTTTTAAAAAAATATTTATTTTGAAAATTATTTTCCTGGTCAATATCGAAGGGTCACATAAAACATTCTATGCAATGTCAGCAAAGAAATTTTATGGAGATATACCTTATGGTCAATACTATATTACTGATAAACTAGTGTGAAATAAAACCCTAGATATACTAGTATTGAGTCTATGTACTTCTCATTAAAGTTACTGTAACTTGTTTGTATTTGTCTTTTTCTTGTCAAAAAAGCTAATAAATGCTCAAGAAATATATACCTGCAAGAAAGAATATGAATGCTGTGTTTCATCACTACCCTGGAATTCACCAAAGCATACTCAATCGAGAGAAGTGACAGTCTGCATATTATGCATCATATAAATACAAATTCTACTGTTCGTTTGCTTACTTTCTCTCATACAGTAACAAAACAACACTATTCAAACAAACTGCATACAGTGTGATAGCATTTATAAATATATCATCTATACCCTAATACTAATTCTGTAATTTTGAGCAAGTACTTACATCCTTTGGCTTTGCGTAGTTTTACAGAACAAAAGAGACCATGACTTTACTGTATTGAGAATGTCAAGTTTATTAACCTGCAGTACAGTACAGGACTACTGATTACACAGTAGATGTGCTAATGTTTTTTTTTTCTAAAATATCAATATTTTAAAGTCTTACCTCTTCAGCTGATTACAAAGATATAATAACTATGATGCTACAGCATAAGCAACTCCAGTGTTTGTCTCCGAATTAAACTTTAGATTGCTGCTGAGCTATGTGAAATGTGAGCTCACCTCCTTACGTAGCTGCGTTGATTTTGACAACTTCATGAAAGTCAGATGGGGTTTAAAAGCTCTTCCTTCTCCTGCCAAGATGCCTTTTTCTTGAAATATCTTCTTCATAGTCTCTGAAGGGAGAAGAAAATATAGAGGAACTCAGATACTAGATGACAGAATGCTTAAAATGTGCAACTGTAGCATGAGTCACGGCCACACCACATTAAAAGCAAAACCAAAAAACAACCAAGAGTACTATCAGGCAGAGAGATTTCTAGTTAGCTTCAAAGGTGCGTATTATTCCATATGAAAATATTTTTGCATCTGCAGTTAATATGGGTCACAAGTTTGGCTTTATTAAAATAATGGCAATTAAAAAAGCTGTTCATGCTGTCTGCTTTTGCTATCAAATTAGGAAATTCACAATAAAATGGTTCTGGAGTTACTCTCACTGAAAAAAATTTGCAAACTTCAGGAAAACTGAGTATATAATGGAAATTTCCCTCTTCAAAAACCCTGTTCTGTGGCAAGCTCTACTCTGTATTTGGGTAATCTCCAACTAAGACGAAAGGAAATCTGAAATTGGAAGCTTTAAAATCTGGTGCTGAGCTGCCATTTACATGGCAGAGTTTGAGGTCACATCAAGTATACTGAAGTTGGATGATTTTTCCTATGCTTTTCTTAAGCTTCACTTGCCTTTGAAGCTCACTTCCTATTTTTAAGTACACTTTTACCTATCTTCAGCAAAGGCCTAAGCAACTCTACTACATAGACCTAGCTTACTATTTTGCAGCTTATTTACCCTATATAATATTTCATTTCTTGGAAGTAAATTTAAGTGTCATTTTTGAACTATGATTCATTTTTTAACTGAAATACTTTACATGAAAAGTATCTGTTGTAATTTTGAAAATAAATGTTTTTGATAAAATTTAACAAAACCTGTGGCAAAAATAATAATGGTAAGTAGACTATCTCTGCTACTAGACAAACAGAAAAACTGTAATTTTTTTTTCCTTCTTTGCAAATACAACTTACACTGTTTCTCTGGCTCTAAGTCTAGTTGACTCACACTGTCCTTGAGCTAAATTCAGAATAGGGAAAAAAATCAATCCTATCACATGAATTTAATCAACCCTTGCTATAATGATGTGTTTGCATTAAAGTGTATTACTTTTTGGCTGGATATTTCAGCTGTAACAGAAAGAACCAGTGCATTATTCTCTCGCCTGGAAGGAAATGCATTACACTGGGAAGTGAACAGCAAAGATGGGTGAAAAAAATAGGGATGGCCCAAGGAAGAGGAATTCAGGCATATAAAGCTGGTTAGCCTAAGTCTGCCAGCTCACGCTCATATAACACGTCGTTCCAGAGTTCCTACTCATACCTTGTTTTTAATTGCTTGTGAGGTACTTGTGAGGTAGTTGGAAATCACACATAAGAAAGATTTTACAGGCTTGTGCATTACTTCACAAAAGAAAACTTCTAAAAGAATCTCAGAGTGTTCTCCTTAGGCCTGGAGATCAAAATTCACTTCTTGTTCTCTGCTGCAGTATGATTTATAAACCTAGGCTCCACAGTCTATGCAGCTGAGGCTGGGATTTTGAAAGATGCCAAGGAAATCAAAGACCCAAACAGCACTTCCTAGAGAAGCTCACTTGAAGATTCTCTTTCAAGTTTCATTCTCCACTTAAAAGATGCCGATGCAATTTGAAAAGAAATAAAAAAAAAAAGTATACCCTTTTTTTTCTACCTCTCAGGAAGCTGAAAAGTCATTAGGATTAAAAACCACGAAGCATCTAGACAATGGTAACAGGGTCACACTACCATCACAAACACTGAAAGTGACCTACTAGAAGATAAAAGTTTGCCTTTTACCAGTAGAGCAGAATATATAATGCATCAAAATCATTTTGCCTCTCTCTCCTGCCAAACAACAGAAGTCTTAAAACAGTAAAGCTGATACACTTCAGTTGAAAAGAGACAAAAAGTTACAGAGAACTCATGAAGCTCTTTCAGTCCTTCCTTGAAGCTAGTATTTCTAGCTAGTTTTCTCTGCTGGGAAACTGAACAGCTGGACAGAAGAGAATTTGGTTGTAGGACAATGCGAATTGTCAGCACTGAAACCACCTTCTTCCATAGCTACATAAATTCAGGCAAATCCACAATACACTGTTCAAAGCACAAGTAACAACATATGCTATAGTCACTTGCCTCCGAGCTAGTCAGTGCACTTAGACTTGGTTTCAGTCTTTTGTTTTTATTTTCCACTCATTTATCATCTACATTTATTTCTTGCAGTTATTACTATACTACCCAGTAATATACAACACTCTAGGAGTCAATGGAGTAAACAAACTTTTTTTATTACAAGTTTTGTGATAAACATTGAGAAAACAGAGATGAAGAAGAGCACCAACATTTATTTTTTAAGTGCATGGTTTCAAATTCAGCTGCAAGATTTCTCTCTCTGCAGGATAAATGTATACATTGCATGTAACACAGAAGAAGGTGGAGGTGTGATGCAGCCCAAGAGACGAGGCTCAAAACTGACCTAGACTTCATTTACACAAATGAAACAAACCTGTTGTGTTATAATGGATGTCATTATGCTTTCCTCTGGTTTTATTCCTCTATTTACAATATAGGGTTACATAAAAGAGCATATGTATGCATATATATACACATATGCTTATAATATAGAAAAAAAGAATGGTTGAGGTGGGAAGGGACCTCTGGAGGCCATCTGGTCCAAATCACCTGAGCAAAGTGCCCAGGACCACATCCAGGCAGCTTTTGAAGATCTCCTAGGAGGGAAACTCCACAGCCTCTCTGGGCAACCCATGCCAGTGCTCAGTAAAGAAGTGTTTCCTGATGTTCAGCCCAAGCCTCCCATGTTTCAGTTTGTGCCCATTTCCTTCCTTCCCCTTTCTTTCTTCCCTCCCTCCCTCCCTCTCTCTCCATATCTACATATATATGTATATGCAGGTATAACTTACAAAACACAAGCATCTGTAGATCTGTGGATCCACAGATATCTAGATCTATATATCTAAACCTACTGTATATCTGTACCTATAGGTACATGTCTATACGTAAATACAGCTTACCTACTTGTTTATTTTGTGTCTGCAAGAAACATTTCTAAATTTGCACTAAATCCCCACTGAAGTATTGTAGAGCTGCGCACACAAATGCTGTTGAACAACAGATTAACGTATCAAAAGAAAAGACTATAAATAAATGTTTGCTGCTTCTTCAAATTGAGATACAGAAGTTCAAATCAAGTCATTTAGCAATGCTGTGCATGTATTTCTATGCTTCAGATGGCCTGCTTACTTTCTGATGTTGGTTGCTGAGTAAATGCTGAATAAAGCGTTACATTTATTTAAAACTGAAATGATGTGTAACAAACCCATTTTCTGGTCCCTTTCTTTCGTTCCCTTAACAGCATCATTTGGGGACTCATTGACTTTGATGTTCCAGCAAAGGATTAGTCTTATAAAAAAAAAAGTTCATGCTACCCTCTGATACTCTTGATCTAATGAATTGTAGTTTGTTTCCTCCTAAAAAGCTCAATTCTTTCTGCCAGCATGTCTTATGGCCAGCATGCTTTATCTCTCACCTCTGCAATTGAGATTTCTAGTGGTGAAGATCCACATCTAGGGGTCTCCCCCTAAATCCTTTAAGAAAGAGCTCAGTGTCAGACCAGTGGTTTGTCCCCACACACCTGATCATGGGATTTTAAGCACAGCAATTTCAACAGGGTAGAACAATCCTATGGTATACAACATGTGTTACAGCTGGACAGCAGGGCACCTACACTTCATGTTGCTGAACCACAACCACACGGCCTGGGTATCTTCGCTTTGTGATAAATAAACCAGTAACTACCACTATTCCCCTCCTCAAAGATAATGAAAATAGAAAGAAATGTGAAGGGATGGGTGGGATGGTGGTGGTGACTCAGGGAAGAAACAAAGGGAAATGTTATCCTGAGACTAGAGGAAGGGTAAAAGATGATGCAATGCTATTAATATCCATGCAGTCCTTTAAAGAGGTGGTGACAAGGAGGGTTTTAAAAGAACAGGGGAAGGAAGCATGGATATTGTGGGCAAGAAAAGGTTTATGGGACAGCATGAAAGTCAATTTGAAAACTGAGCAACTATATGAAGGTTAAACTCTGTGATGTAGATTGCCCAAACTGGAGTAAATGAGAGAGGCCAGTTATAAGAATGATAGACTGGTCTTAACAGATAAGGATCAGCCTTCCTTACACCAGATTTTAACGTTGCTAGCTGGACTGGAAAACAAAACAGAATCTGTGTTTTCCCTTATTAGTTTCAGGCTGACCGATGTTTGCAGCTTCAAAGTACACCGTTGAAAAATTAAGGCTATTTTTACATTCTCAATGACTTCCTGGAACAAATTTTTGGACAGCTTTCAGAGCATCTTTCATGCAATTTGAAGTACTCTGCAACACCATTTTGTACGTTATTTTTATAATGTCAAAATTACTGAATGTCATCTGCATCTCTTACATTGGATGTGGCTGAATCCATTAGACAACTGTTTTCCCATAATTAGACTTGAAATGTGATATATTACAGAATGAAGCTTGCTCAGAACAGCCTTTGGAAAGGCCCAAAATTTAAACAGCTAGATCAATACAGAATGATTCATAGAAGAGCTGCATATTGAGCAATGTTCCATAAGTAAGTACCAAGTAGCTTTATTTTCCAAGATTTCATTAAATATGAAAAACTACTATGTACACACATTTTTTTCCAGTCTGTTAAATATTTTAATTGAGGTATGGGCAAAAATTAGAATTTAGCAACAGCATTTTGTCTCTTTACTGAAAGATTTCTGACTATACACTCAAAGCTGAAGACAGAGAGGAAGCTAAGCATAGCTAACTTATGATCATAACTTCAGCATGTCAAGTCATGTTAAAATTGTTAAGTTCTTCGGTTGTTTGTTTGCATTTAAGAGTATTTTAAGAGTGTTGGTTACCAATTGGCAGAATTTTTTTTTTTTTTATAAAGAAGCTTTTTAGTTATCCTTGCTTTCTGTAATAGTACTGAGCATAACAAAGTACAAAGCCTCACAAGGCCCAATATGTAAGCCA